GCAACATACAGTGATGAGTTAATGAGTAGTTTAGACTTAACTAGTGGACACACAGCAATATGCAAATGTGACCACATGTGTGATTGAATATGATGTAAATTCAAAGATATTTCTTCTCGCTTACACTTTGTCGCACAGACAAGCAACTAGCACTGTTGGAAATGTAAATGTGGTTTTATTTGATATGTGTTCCACCTACAGGAGGAAGGAACGTGAGTTTGGGTGCAAAATGCATCTAAGCTTAAGGTAAAGGCATATTTTTCAACGTAACACACTAATGGTGCACTTCTAGCAAAAGGAGGGTTAATGATTCCACAGTTTAGGATGATTTTGTATTTTATAAGCTTTATATTGGTGGAAAATTGAGCTGAAAAGTGCCCTTATCCAAGCAGACCTCCATCAAAGCTGTCACTAGACGCAAGAAGATTGATTCCTGCACATCTTGTTCTGAGCAGAAAAAGGACAATGTTTCTGTGTCTCAAGGAAAGGACAGCGGAGGGGAGGAAACGGAGGAGGGGGAAAGGCTGGAGGGGAGGAAATTTAAGAAGGCTGGGATAAAAATAACTATTTGGAGAGAAAGCAGTCAGATGGACAGACAGAGAAAGATGTTCAGATTCAGTGGAGGGGAAAAAAAAAAGACACAACAGAAACCTCGGGGGGAAACTGTCATCAATACAAATAATGTGCGTAATCATTTCCAAGCAAAAGGTGATGAATGTGTTGTCAAAATAAAGCCTCGCTGTTCTAATGTGCTGCTTGTTTCCTTGATCCTCATTCAGATGTTAATGTCAGCGAGGATGGCGGCTGCTCGGGGGACAATCTGCAGCTGCTGTCAATAAGAATTAACCACCAGAGACGGATTGTTGTTGTTGTTGTTTTGTTGCAGGCAGCTAAAGCGGAGCCACGGATGAACTGACGGAGGACAGGCTGATGCACCAGAACTCTCCCCGGAGACGAAACACGCTGAGCTGCTCGAGGCTGCTGGAAGTGGCTGAGGATTGCACACCTTGACTCGTTCCCTCGAGCTCAAATCAAACTCATCCTCTGTGCACGAACCGAGCGATCACTTGTTGATGTGCAGGTCAAAGAACACAGATGTACATAAAATGAGACTCTATAGGGTTTGGTGATCTTCTGATATTGCTTCTGGTGTCACTATAACTTCAAGTTGGTTTGAAACGTCTCAACAAACATGGGACAATTTGAGCTGTAATCACTTTTGGTGTCTTTCTTGATAGCTTCACTGACAACATTTGAGTTCATTGGATGCACACCTGTGGATGTATCTTAAGGCACACCTCAAACACACTGCTTCCTTTTGTGACAACATAGAAAATCTATCAGCCAAGATATCAGGAAGAGAACTGTGGACCTCCACTAGTCTGGTTCATCCTTGGGTACAATTTTCAGATGCCTGAAGGTTCCACGTTCATCTGTTCAAACAATTAAACACAAGTATAAACACCATGGGAATGTCCAGCCATCATACTGCTCAGGAAGGAGACGGGTTCGGCGTCCCAGAGATGAAGTGTTTTGGTGCCAAATGTGGGTAACAACCCCAGAACAAAAGCTAAAGACCTTGTGAAGATGCTGCTGAAGCTGAAGAGTGTCATTATCCACAGTGACACCAGTCCTGTACCGAATTTCAGCTGAAAGGATACTCATGAGAGGAAGAAGCCATTACTCAAGTCCACACGAATTGTGCTGAAGTTACAACTAACGATCTGGATCCTGACTGTAGAGTTGAACAAATCAAGTCGGGAAAGTTTTATCTGCTAAATTCACACTTGTGTAGCACCTTTTAACCTTAGCTATATTCTACAAAGAACTTTCCACGTGTTTCTTATTCACATTCAGAACTTGCAGAAGTCATGCAAGGTCGTCTGCCCTCAGGTGAAACTTTGGGTTCAGTGTTTTGCCCAAAGACATTCGGCGTTGCCTTGTGATTCGTGGATGAACCGCTCGACCACCTGAGCCTTGGCCAGCTGTGGTAACACCTTCTTTGTTTTCTGTGGGGACGCTGTCACGCAATTCACACCTGGACTTACTGAAGTCGCTCTTCTGCCAATATTCAAAAACCTCCTTCCAGCTTGATCACTTCAGCTCTATCACAGTTACAGCCCAGTTTTAGAAAACAGCAGTGAGCTCAGAGGATATTTGTGGGTTTTCAGGCTCAGCTCGTCTCCTCTGGAATCAGATAATCAGCTGGTTATTCAGTTTACTTGCGCCAGAACAAAACCGCTGTGTGCATCTACAAAGAGCAGCAGGAAAGAGACTTCTGGTCTCTTATCTCCTCTGGAACGAGGCCATCCACCCTATTTATCCCTCCAAGTGTCCTTGTACTGTGTTTATCTCAACCTCTGCCTTCCTCTTCTCTTTGGATTTCTTTGTCCCCTCAGTGAGAAACAATCAGTGCAGAACAACATGCAGAGGAAATGTGTTTGTCCTTCACTTTACAGCTTTGTTGAAAACCGCAAAACTTGTGAACTGGTAAACACTGAACTCCAGCATTCCCAGCATGATTCAAACTACACATGAGGGACAGATTAAAGGAAAAAAATAGGTGTCTTTGTAAGGTGTTGGGCACCAGAACAGCCTCTGTGCACCTTGGCATTGATTCTCTGACTTTCTGAACTCTACTTTAGGGGTGAAACAACATTTTTTTCAAAAGATATTTCTTCATTTTGTGTTTTGGAGATGGTCTGTCGAACACATTAGTCCAGTATCTTGTATAGTAGTTCAGTTGGGTTGAAATCTGGTAATTGCAAAACACCACAGCACATAATTCACCCCCTCTTTAATCCAAGTAATTAGTGACCTCTTGGATGGATGTACCATCATCCTGGATAGATTTGTCATCTGCAGTGTATTTTACTTCTTTTATAGCTTTTCCTTATACAAAATTCAAACTTATCGACTTGATTGTATTGAAAACAAAAGTCAAACTGAGCAGCATGACGACATTTTTTGGTTGCTCTGGCTCGTTAATGTGTTTTGTTGTTTTGTTATTTTTCAACAAATGTACTCTCAGACTGGTCAGGGTCGGTAAACAGAGCACAGAGCGGAGATATCCTCAATGAAAACATGCTCCACAGTGCTCAGGATCTCAGACTGGGCTGAAGCATCACATTCCAACAAGATAATGAATCTGAACCCACAGCCCAGACAACACTGGACTGAGTTCTCTGTGGCTGTTCTTGCGTGCTTCAGCCAGAGCATCGACTTACACCCGACTTAACATGCTCAGCTGATAGTCTACATCCAAAAAGACAATCCAAAGAAAAAGTAAAACTAAACAAACTGCATTTATACCCTCAAGGGCAGATTATTGCAACTCTTTGTGCCGGGGTATTGGACACTCCAGTCGGTCTCTGGTGCAGAACGCTGCTGCAAAACTTTTAACTGGTACCACAAAAATCAGAAAGACTTACGTGAATTGATTCTAAATTCCCTTATTTAGTTTGCAAAGCCATGCATGGGTGGGCATCTGGGTACATTCAAGAACTTCTCTACCTTCAGGTCTTTTAGATCCTCGTAATGAATATTGAGCTTTTGCTGTCGTGGCTCCAAAGCTCCTCTTTCAATTGAATGTTCCTCCTCCATTGATATTTTCATTAGAAACCTTAAGATGCGCATGTTGTCGATGGCTTTTTGCTGCTCTTAAGGCTCT